TTTTAGAAACCTTTACGTGCAAGTTAGGGGCTGGCTTTCTGTCTTCAGCGTCAGTCAAGGTTCAGAAGGGTCAGAATCATCAGAACATAGCTGAGTGCACGTCTCAGGTGTTTTACCTGTAGAACCTGGCAGTACCGCCTTCCTGCCAGGGCTGTACGGGTTCAGTATTGAACACAGTACTGGTGTGTGTAGGCATGCGTGGTGGTGTCACTGTCATGACTGACTGGCTCTGTGTTCAGGTTGTGAGGTGCAGTTCTGCCTTCCTGTTAGACCTTACAGAAACTTATTTCCCAGCCCTGTAGGCCACAGATGCAGATGATTTCTACCCAATGGGCTCTTAGCCTCTGCTTGGACATCCCCGCACAGACGTACCCCCAACACCCAGGGAAGCTCAGCCCCTATTGGGCCCCCCTCCCCACCGTGCCCCCTCCTCCAATCTAGCCTTCCTGTCCCCGGAGGCTGTGTACTCATGAGACTAGGCAAGCTCCACGCCCCTGCATCTAGCCCCCCGTGGCCTCAGCAGCAGCAGGCAGGTGGTGATGACTGACAAGCAGGATAGAATGGAGCTGAACGCCTGGTCCTGGGTGCACCGAACGCCCCTGCCAGGCCCTTGGGTTCTCGCAGAGTGTCAGGCCGGCTAGGGGCCAGCATGGCTGAGCATGAGAGGCCCGGCAGGAAGGGGCAGGCCAGGCTGGTTCCTGCTCTCCCGTCCTTCCACCCCACCTCCTCACAAACCCTTCTGCTTTTGTTTTTCTCTCCAGGAAAAGTAGAAGCTCAGCACATCCTGGCCAGTGCACCAACTGACAGGAACCTCTGTCACTTCCAGGTGAGCTGGGCCCCAGCTCTTCTGAGTTGAGGCTTTTCTGGGGGGCTCATGGTGGCTCTTGGCCCCTGTCCCTCTGAGACAGTTCTTGGGGCCAGGGAAGTGCTGCTTAGTTAGCGAAACTTCTGAGATGGGCTGGGCTGGGGAAGGGGAGGTCAAAGACCAGAAGGAAAGCCAAGGTTGGGGAGGGCTAAGGCAGAGGGAAGGGGGGGGTGTGTGTGCGCGTGTGCGTGCGCTCATGTCAGTGCACGTGTGTACACGTGTGTTGGGGCAGAGATGGTTGTGGGCACTCCCTGGGTTCAGGGGGCGCAAGGAAGTGCTGACATCAGGGGTCCTGTGAGGTGCAGCGTTGGTCCTGAGCAAGAATGGATGGTCTGGGTGAGTCTTGAGCTTTGGGAGTGGGGGTGGTGCAGGCATTTGCAATGTGAGGGACCCCTGGGGACCCCTGGGGATGCAGGGTGGCCTCCAGCAGGAAGGGCCATGGTCTGGGAGGCTGTCCCCCATTTACCCCAGCCCTGATTCCACTGTCCCTACTGCAGGCTCTGGGCTGCCGGACCACCCACTGCAACCGGGAGGTTCTGCAAAGCTGCTTGCTGGTCTTCTTCGCTACCAAGCCTCATGTCCTGCCCACTGTCCTGGCCGAGGTGGCCCCTGTGGTAACCGCTAAGCACATCTTGGTGTCTGTGGCTGCCGGGGTCTCTCTGAGCACCCTGGAAGAGGTGAGTGGCCTGTGGGGGTCACGTGGGAGCTGAGCCTCTGACCTCAGAGCCCATTCTGCTGGTCAGAACTTCCCACCCTTTGCCATCCCAGACTGGTGCCAGTGTGGGTTTAGCCCTTTAGGGAGGTGGGATGGGTGAAACCTGTGACAGACAGCCTCCCAGACCAACCCGAGCCTGAAGAGGTGGCCAGGTGACCCAGGGGGCTGGGGCTTAGGTTCCTGCTAGCACCCTAGCCGGGACACGGGCGGGGAGGGAGCCCGCAGTGGGCTGAGGCCTGGGTATGCCTGGCGGGGCCAATCCCACATGATCCCTGATCCCAGCTTCTCTCTGACCAGCTGCTACCCCCAACTGCGCGGGTGCTGCGGGTCTCACCCAACCTGCCCTGCATGGTTCAGGAGGGGGCCATGGTGATGGCACGGGGCCGCCACGCCGGAAGCAGCGAGGCCAAGCTCCTGCAGACCCTGCTGGAGGCCTGTGGGCAGTGCGAGGAGGTGCCTGAGGCCCACGTGGACATCCACACCGGCCTCAGCGGCAGCGGCGTGGCCTTCGTGAGTGTTGTGTCTCATCCCCACCCCCAGGCTGGCCCTTGGCAAAGCGGGGACTTCTCAAGTCCCTGCAGTGACCCCAGCCTTTGGGGTTCGATGACTTGGCTCCTGGGCTGCCTGTGAGCTCTGCTCTCTGCTGCGTCGTTGCCTTCCTGGGCCTTTGTCCAGTCAGACCCCTGGGCTCAGCCCCAGCCCTAGTTCCTGCACTGGTGGCCAGTGCTCTGCAGTCAGACCCCTGGGCTCAAGCCCAGCCCTAGTTCCTGCACTGGTGGCCAGTGCTCTGGGCCGTGTTCCTGAAGGCTCCGAGCTTTCTCCAGACGGGGTGCTGTGTGCAGGAGAGTGTTGGCTTTGACAGTCTCCACCCCCCACTGCTACAGGTGTGTGCCTTCTCTGAGGCCCTGGCCGAAGGTGCCATCAAGATGGGCATGCCGGGTGGCCTAGCCCACCGCATTGCGGCTCAGACCCTGCTGGTGAGTGAGAGCAGCCCCCGCGGGGTCGTGTGAAAAGGGATGGGCTGCTATGTCTCCCAGGAGCAGTGGGCAGGGGGACAGCAGGCCCAGGAAGCCTGGACGAAGACCTGGGATGGGGGTGGGGGGCGGACCCCTGATGAAGCAGGCTACATGGGGCTGAGCTGGAGAAGGGGCTGCCCGCTTCCCTTGAGTCACCCCCAGGGTCCCTCTCCCCAGGGGACAGCTAAGATGTTGCAGCAGAAGGGGCAGCACCCAGCTCAGCTGCGGACAGACGTGTGCACACCGGGCGGCACCACCATCTACGGGCTCCACGCCCTTGAGCAGGGTGGGCTTCGGGCCGCCGCCATGAGTGCTGTAGAGGCTGCCACCTCCCGGGCCAGGGAGCTCAGCGGGAAGTAGGGAACAGGCACAGGCTCTGGGCTGCCCCCAGTCCCTCCTTCCTTGCCCCTTCCCCAGGACTGCAGCTCCCCCACCATGCAGGAGCCTCCTGGCTGCCCCCCAACCTCCACACGAGGAAATGAGGAGGGACAGGCCTGGAGGGTTTCACAGGCAGGGGATCCCCTCACCATGGGAACCTACCCCCCACCCACCGCAGGGCAGAAGGCACCATGGCAGTGGCCCACCATCAGGTCTCGGGATGTGCTGGCCAGCTGCCCCGTGTGCTCAGCTGGGTGGGTTGAGGGCAGGAGCAGGGCTGCTGCTGGAGCATCTGGGTAGGCCCTTCCGACAGCTGTCTGACTGCAGCCAGCTCGGGAGCGGGGGCTGGGGGGTACCCGGACACTGCACAAGAGACCGGCTCCTCCTCCTCAGTGAAGCCAGCACCGGTAGGCCCCCACAATGGTCTTGTCCTCGGGTTGACCTGCCATGGTGGGGGGCGTCACCCACAGGGAGCTAGCCCCTGAGAAAACAATGGGGCTGGCTGCCCTTTGCTCTTTTTCTGGCTCAGGAGGAGCTGCACCGGGTCCTTCCCTTGGGGAGCCCCCATGAACAGAGCCCTGGGTGGGTGGGCCGCAGTGCTGATCAGCAGCAGGCCAGTGCAGGGAGGCTGGGCCTAGCTGGCTGCGGAACAGGGACGTGGCTTCAGCTGGGTGTGGACCCCCTTCCCCAGCTAAGCTGGCAAGTGGCAGGTGGAGCCGGCCCTGATGACCGTTCCCTGGGTTGTCCTGGAGGGTCTCCTGGCCTGGCCTCTGACTGCAGGACATGGCTCTTTGGCACATCCCTGGCCAGCAAAGCCAGGAACTTGGGTCCCCCACCAAGGCCATGGGGCCTTTGGGTGGAGGGTGGGCTGCCTGCCTCTTTCCCCCCACACTGCCCCCGAGACTCCTGGAGCCTCCCCAACCCACAAAGGCCCCGGAGTGCTGGAGCTCCCCTCACTTCCACCCGGTGGCCTACTGAGACTGGGCCAGCCACAAAGTGGAGCAAATTGCCTCCAGTTGACCAGCTGAGACTTGAAGCAAACCAGCCCTATCTGTACGTGGCTGACAGCACCCCCACAGCAGTGCTCCCCTGCTCACGCTCGTCCTCCATCCCTAGCCTTCAGCCTGTCCTCCCACGCACATCCCCAGACCTGCTGCCCCCCTCCCCGTGGTCCTTCCTTGGCCAACTGGCCCTTCCTCCGGTTAGGAGGGTCAGCCCGAGGCCATTTCCACACCTGAGTGATCTGTGAGATGGGAATAAAGGCGCTGTCTGCTCGCACCGAGTGACCGATGTCTAGGCTGATAAAGCAGATTGCAAGGGCCTGGAAGTACATCTGAGCTGAAGCTTGAGACCTGGGAGCAGGTGGTGTGGGGGCAGAGGTCACCCACCCTGGCTGTATGGCACCAGCATCTGAAAGCTCTGCACGGGTACAGTCTTTGGCTTCCTCCCTAGCCCAACCTCATCCTCCAGTGTACGTTGGTGGGTTCAGCGATGCGTCTTCCCATACAGTCTCCGAGAACCTGGGCGGGTTGGCTTGTGGAGCAGAAGACGCACCTCCGGCCAGCCCTGCCATGAGCGGGCCACTTGCGGAATCAGAGGCGCCTCAGTGAGCCCCCAGCCCAGCTGGAAGGGCAGCCGTGCCTCAGGTGGTGATGGGCCTGGACAGGAGTAGTGAGAGTGGCTTTGGGGCTCAGGGCTGCAGCATGATCATCGGCCGGTCACGACTCACCTAGCACAATGCTCAGATTACTTTTTCAAAAGACCGGTGGACAGAATTTTTCATCAGTGTTTATATCTTCCTTACGTTTTCAAATTATGAGGTGTTCTAGATCTAAGCATTGGGTCAAAAATTACAAAATTAAGACCTCAAAAGTACCTGGTTGGCTGAGGCAGTAAAGCATGAAATTTGGTCCTTGGGGTCATGAGTTCAACTGCACGTTTGGTGTAGAGATTATTTAAGTAAGTAGAATATCTGCCAAAATCCAAAAAAATATACTAAAATAAAACTTTAGAACAGGGATGCGTATGAAGTTGACACGAACCTTTATTATAAAGCACATTGGGCCCACCTGACTGGGTGAATTCCCCCCTCAAGGATGGGTGTGAAAAGGTCCCTCAATAGAGCATGCACCCCAAAAGCCCATGGTCCTCAAGGACAAGCCCCTGGAGTCAAGGCTAGCCTGTGGGCACCCTTATCTGGGCACAAACAGCGCCCAGCCCCCCTCCCGGGCTCCCCGCAGCAATCCTGACTTGCTGGGCTGGGACCCGGGCTGGGGGTCCTTGGAGGGCACACTCTTCCCTTCACCACATGCCGACATGGTGCTCTGCAGCCCTCCGGCTGTCTGGGGGTGGCTTCCCGGGCATATAGCCCCCTTGGGCAAGGCTGTGCCTCTCAGACGGCTCCCTCTGAGGGTTGCAGCTTAGTATCATCCCCACAGAACACGCAGGTCAAGGGCGGTTTTAGCAGAGCCTGCACACTGGCTTGTCTTCACCCAGTGCCCATGGGGGCCCTGAGGTCTGCCTCTCCAGACTCCCCCGGGGGCAGGCCTGGCAGAGCAAAGGCCAGGGCCTCCTAGCCCTAGGTCCCTGAGTTGCCATCGGATGTTACAAAACGTAAGACTTGCTGAAGCCCTGTGCCAGCTGCTTGGCCAGCCAAGACGCCAGCCACAGACGGCCAGAGGTGCCTGTAGGGGCACGGGCTGGAGGAAGCTAGTAAGTGGAGGGGCCAGAGGGGCCCCAGCCGGGGGCCCCTGCTCCCAAATTCTTCACACCTTCCCTCAACTTTCAGAATTGAGATACACATGTGACACACACACACACACTCTGACCGGGGACAGTTCCATGGAACAATTTATGTTCTCAGACTTGTGGGGAAGCTGCTCTGGGGGCTCCCTCCAGCTGCCTCGGCAGTGCCTGGCCACCCCCTCCCACAGACACACCATGTGCCTGCAGCCGCCTGGCTACAACAGGAGGATGTGGGGCAGGTGGGGGTGAAGGGAGGACAGAGGCAGGCAGCACCTCAGACCTGGCCCCTGCCTCTCACAAGCGCTCTGGGCAGCACATCCCCAAAGGCCGTCCCTCGGAGGCACAGGCATCGCAGGACTCTGAACTTAGAGCTGGCCAGACACATGAGCCCTTTCCCCCTCCTCTCAAACGGAGCCACTCACACGAGCCCTTTCCTCCTCCTCTCAAACGGACCCACTCAGAAGCCCAGTCCCTGGGGCTACGGGAAGCAGCTCCTTAGCCATACCCTTGGCAGTGCCAGGAGTTCCAGTGGAGGAGCACTAAGGCACTGTAGGATTGTCCCCGTATGGCTGTCAGTATCACAGGCCTGCTCCGGGTAGATGGCGTGGCTCTGGGCCTGGCTGCTGGTCCAGGGAGCTCGCTCAGTCATTGGCCAAGTCACCAGGGGCCCAAGTCTAGAAGGCTGCTAACCCCATAGAATAAGAGAGCAGTTTGGGAATGGAATTTTCTTAAGGAAAACTAACAATCCCAGTGGAACAGAACTCTACACTTGCTGCTGCATCTGGATCGTGAGGATCCCCAATTTTGCTGGGCACCATCCTCCTTTCCCAGCCTCTACAGAGCCAACCTCCAAGACCAGCCCCGGGCTGGGGAATGAGACACCACCCTGGCCCCCAGCAGGGTATCTGTAAAAACGGACTCCGCATGGAGATCTCCGCATGGAGACTGCATGGCTGTGGCATAGGAACCATGAAGCACCAGGGCTCTAGACTTACAGGAGTGCTGGCCCCTTGTCCAGTGCATGTGATGGGCCACCCCGGAGGAGGGCAGGAGGTACGGACAGGCATGGAGCCCAATAAGGGCCAGGGCCGGAAAACCGAGAGCTGCTCTGATTAGCGCGCTATGTTGTGCACGGCAAGGGACCCTGGCAAAAACCACAGACACCACGAGTGCGCTTGCCCAGGGCGGAGGTGTATGAGCCCAGGGCCCCTCTTCCAGCTCCCCCTCAGGAGAATGGGGGGGGCCAGTGCAGCAGGATGATCCTCCACAACAGAGCCCCTCCAGACCAGCCTGGGGGCCGGGATCCCTGGACACCCCTGGGCCATGGGGTGGGCCATCCCAGGTGAAAGAGGGAGGGGAGATGGAAGACTGTGCGTGTCTCCTCCCTCCAAGTGCAGCAGGAGAACAGCCGGTGGGGGGCCACTCTGGCTGGCTTGGTCACACCCCATCCTCAGGGACTGCACGAGAGGGACCAATGCCCCCCAGCCTCCGGGCCATGCTGATCAGTGAGCGCAGCTGCACCAGCTTTGGTGGCCCCACCTCCCGGGGGTCCTGATTCTCCAGCCACCGGAGAGCTGTCTCCAGACCCCGGACAGCCTCCCCAGCAGTGGGCACGGCAGCCTCCTCCTCCTCCTCCCCACCTCCCATGACAGAGGGTAGGCTGGCTGGGGGTAGAGGGGCAGCAGGCGCCAGCACAGGGGGCCGGCCAGGGCCTGCCTCCTCCCTGCAGCTGTCGGGCAGCCCCCCATCATCGTCCAGATGCAGCCACTTGGCCACCTCCTCGGGCGCCAGGCGCTTGTAGGCCAGGGCTGCCAGGTGCGTGAGGTCGCTGAGCACCCGGCTGTGCTCTGCAGCCTCCTCGGCCTGGCCGGCTGGCTGCCCAACACACTCCTCAGTGGGCCGGGGCTCGAAGGCCGCCCGCAAGCCGAGCAGCCAGCACCGCTCAATGCTGCCTGCCTGCACCAGGTCCCAGGAGAGGCCGGCCAGGTAGAGCATGTCCTTGAGCATGAAGCTGCGCATGAAGTCCAACGGGGAGCCCCCCGCACAAGACACAGCTAGCCTCAACAGCTCCCGCTTGTATAGCTGCTTGAAGGCGGCCACGACCCCCTGCTCCATTGGGGCAGGAATGTGTGCCCGGCTGCTGCCCTTGGACAGGAAGAGCACCCGCACGGCACCATCCGGGGTTTGCAGCTCTTCTGGGGGGCTGAGGGGCTCGGGCCGACACCGCCGGAGGGTCTCCTCGCTCTCCTCCAGAGCGGGCATCCTGGCAGCTGGGCTTGGGCAGGGCGGGTGGGCCACCAGCAGCACGGCCTTCTGCTGCAGGCAGCTGCGACGCAGGTAACGCCTCACGCCGGGGACGAACTCCTCAAAGAACCAGCCCCGCAGCAGAGGGCGACTGAGCCAGGCATCCGGGCTGTAGCGATAGGAGGCGGGGAACTTGTCCTGGTTGTGGTGGCGCAGGCTAGGCGGGTCCGGCAGCTGCCCGATGACCAGCGGCTTCAGCTTGTGGCTACCGGTCAGGTTGGCGGCCAGCAGCACGGTCACCCGGTCACCCCGCCAGCGCCGGCCGCAGCCTCCCGCGCCAGGGTCTCCCGCGCCCAGGGGCGCGGCCTGCTCCGGAAGCAGCTTCCAGTAGAGGCCAGTGACGTTTGCGTTGTAGATCTGCTCGTCGCCGTAGCCGCCCTCGGCGGGGGGCGGCGGGGCCGGGGCCCGGTCGGGCAGGGGCCCGGAGCTGGAGCCGGGGGGCTGCGCGGGCTCCTGCTTGACAGGCGGGCCGGGCGCGGGGCCCGCGGCCAGAGGCTCGGCCTCGCCGTAGATACGCTGGCTGGAGATGCCGTGGCGCTTCTGCCAGCGCCAGAACCAGCCATGGCTGGCCTTGAAGGTGCACTCGGGCCCATAGATCTGGCGCGCGAAGGCCTCGGCCTGCGCCTGGATGAGCGGCCCTGACAGCGGCACGCCGTGCTGGCGCAGCGCCAGGAACCACGAGTAGACGGCGCGATCGATCTCCTCCTCGTTGGCCAGCCGCATCTTCTTGCGCTGCGTGCCCACCTCGCCGCCCAGCTGCTCCAGGAACCAGCGCAGCTTGGGCTCATCCTTGAGCCAGCCGCGCAGCGTGCCGCCCGGCACACCGAAGTCGCGGCACACGCTAGCCTGCCGCTCGCCGCCCTTGACGCGCTCGATGGCCTGCAGCTTGTCCTTGATGGAGTAGGCCTTGCGGAAGGCCATCTTCACGGCCACGCGGGGCCGCGGCCCGGGCGCCGGGGGCGGCGGCCGCACGGCGGGGGCCGGGGTGGG